CACAGCAGCACCACACTTTGAAACTTTCTCTATTGCTAGAGGTGCTGCCTTTAAATTTTTCAAGATAATTGATCAGGTACGGATCCTTCTACCCTGCCCTCATAACTGGGCTATTATCTTGTATGAGAGCACTGACGATGCCAATAGAACAATAAAGTAGTGATAAGCAAAAAGCCATGGTAATTTCCATTGAAAAATAAAGGAGGAAAAAATTAGTGTTTGCCAAATGGAAAAAGACCAAACTGGCTTAGAAAGAACCATTATGTTCAGGCTCTTAAAAGGAAATTACAAACAATAGAATGCAGTGACCAAAGCAAAGTAACTATGGCAGCTAGCCTTAGATTGCAAACTACTCAATGCTAAAATGGGTGTGGTGTGGAAGATGTTTTAAATTGTAGAATAAAAATATGAAATATTCAGGCTGTAATGATATTTCCCTCCCTCAATTGTGCATTTGTAAATTATTTGCTTAAATTTTATTTTTTTTCCATTCCCCAGAAACCCACTATAGATAGTTTTTCTTCAGATGGACACAAACTCGATCACATAAAGGGAGCACTTGAATTTAATAATGTGCAGTTCAGTTATCCTTCAAGACCAGATGTCCAGGTAGGAGAAACACCTATTCTGTGCTTGTTGTAGTCACTGTGACTACAACTTGAAATATGGCATGTTACTTGTGTATTATGCTAAAAGAGTTGTGTGCTTTAGAGGACAGGATGGAAGGACGGCAAATTGGAGTCAGGCGGTTGATTTGAGTTCCATGTGTAGAGAGGAAACATAAAAGAAGGCATGGAGAAGAGTGTTGGAGAAGAATGTAAAAAGGGGTTGTCAGACAATGGAATGTTTGAGCTGAGTGAGGCAAGAAAGGTGTGGCCTCTAAAAAAGACAAGAGAAGAGAGATTGGAAGGAGCAAAGTTATGCAGGGTCCTGAAGGTGAGCCCAGGGGCTTGAATGTGATGCACGTGGCGTGCAGGAGCCAATGGAAGGACTTCAAGAGGGACTGAATGTGGTCAGAATCATGACAGTAGATGACTCTTTGCTGCAGAACACTGGACAAATTAGAGTATGTGAGGTGTCAGGATGGGCAGGTTCCAGTGGTTGAGGTATGAGACAAGATCAGAGCCAGAATTTGCAATGGGAATGAGTGGGTTTTGAAATGTAGCAGGGATAAACCTGGCAGGATTTAGTGACAGTAGGGTGACCAGATGTCCTGATTTTATGCGGACAGTCCCAATTTTGGGGGCTTTTTCTTATATAGGCACCTATTACCCCCCCACCCCTGTCCTGATTTTTCACACTTGCCCTCTGGTCACCCTAAGTGACAGAATCTCGTTAATTTGAGATTGTTCTACATTTTATTTTTTTAACTACCACAAGGTTTTGAAAGGTCTCACTCTGAAAATTGACTGTGGACAAACGGTGGCATTGGTTGGAAGCAGTGGATGTGGTAAGAGCACAATGGTCCAGCTGCTTCAGAGGTTTTATGATCCACAGGAAGGAGTGGTGAGTACAGCCATTCTAGAGCATAGTACTATTTACATAGGTATTAAAATAGTAAAATACAAAGAATTATAGCTATACAAATCCTCAAGGAAAAAGGAGACAAGTGGAGCACAAAGATGGGGTATTGTTCCCAACTATAATAACACAAGATTTTGGGCCAATCAGCCGCTGTTCCTCCCATCTGATGCCGGGAGATTTAACAAAAGTCAAACTCTTACAAAGTGAGCCTTACAGCCTTCAGAGAGTGGATCACTTGGAAGTTACATAAATCACGGGCAAGCGTTTTAAATACTGTAGGGTGTTTTCTGTTCTGAGCAGCCTCACCTTTTACATTAGGAATTTGTTGCAGATGCTGGGCATGGATTTAGAACACCCAAACACACGCTTGGCTGGTGTCCTGCATATTGGGTAGCCTACTTGCTTAACAGTGTTGTTTATAGGGTTTCCTGTGGAGGGTAGATATTGTCTTGAATTGAAATAAATACAATGTTTAACTATTAAATATTATTTAGGAGGGACCATCTAAATGCAGCTCTGTCCTTTGTTGGCAGATCTTTGCCAATGAGTCTGGCCCCAGAGCTCAGTTCGAATCACTTGCTACCTGCTATTCAGATCTAGCTCCAGTAGATCTAGCTGGAGCGCTGCTAGTAGATCAGATCTACTCTCCTCTGAGGGACCTGGAGGCTCCTGGTATTTAAGACAGTATGTGATGAGAGGAGAGAGAGGCTATTGTTTTTTAAGCTTAACTACTTTAGAGGTGTTCGTATGCCATGGTGATAGGGGCCATATATGTATCTAAATCGATTGAGGTAACATGACCACGTAGGAAGGTGAGGCCACTGATTATCCATACTTAAGTTACTCCATCCTTGCTGCTCACTCCAGAACCTGAACTCCTTGTTCTGGTGCTGTGAATTGGCAAGCGAGTTTTGGAGAAGTGGGCCAGGGTCCTCATAGAACAGTCTCTGGGCTTGGCCTTCTCGCAACTCTGTCTTCCAGGCCACTATGTAATGGTGATCCCCTTCATGTATGAAATGGGAAAAAACAGCACTGTAATAAAATACAGCCAAGCACACCCCACCCCGGCTCCAGTGTCGCACAGTCCTGTGAGAGTGCATGTAGAAGACCGGTGTTCATCTCAACGATTGCCTGACGCTTATACTATTTGCTATCCAGACAAAGAATTTTCATGGGCATTTCTGAGCACAGCTAAAGTGTAAAGTGCCAAACCTTGTGTTACCCCCTCCACCATATGGATTACCTGCATAGGACTAATCTCCCATTTAAGATACATGATGGTTGTTCTTTTTCCCTTCTATCCTCCTTGCACCATGCTTCATGCAGGCCTTAGGGTGTGTGTCAGTAAACCATAATACTATATGATTGATAAGCAGAGATGGCCTCTGCTGGTTTCAAGTTTTCCGCTCCTGCAAAAATGAGAAGTATCTCCAGCCAACACTATGTAAGGGATGGTAGGATTCAGATTGAGGGCCCCTTCCTCTTTCCTTTACTTTGGCCTTACTCCAGATGTGGTGCCGGCAGAGGCAAATCTCCACTTGGTGTATGGAAACATCTGGCCAAGGACTATTTCTTCACTGAAACAAAAATAAATCCTCATTTTTCTCACGAATCCTAAATCTGCCCTAACAAACTGAATGGGAAGATTTTGTCCTAAACATTTGTAGGTTTAGAAAGATTCAAGAACAGGACTGTCTTTTTGATCTGTGTTTGTACAGCGCCTAGCACAATGGGGTCATGGTCCATGACTAGGGCTTCTAGGTGCTACGGTAATACAAAATAAGAAGAAAAATAATAATATACAACCTCAGGCTCTCACAGTCTTTTTTTTTCTTTAGATCACAGTGGATGGACATGACATAAAGTCCCTTAATCTGAGACATTACCGAGAATTCATTGGTGTGGTCAGTCAGGAACCTGTTCTGTTTGGGACAACAATTAGAAACAATATAAGATATGGTCGAGAGGATGTAACTGATGAAGAAATTGAGAATGCAGCAAAAGAAGCAAATGCTTACGATTTTATCATGGAGTTTCCTGATGTAAGTATGGTACTTAAAATAACCTGCATTCTTAGAAATGAACTGAAATAAAGTGAGATATTGAGATATGACCATAAAAGAAACCATTTTTTGTGTGTGTGACAGAAGGAATTTACATCAATTGCAATGTTTCTCTAAATTCTCTGAAACAGACATGTAAGGAAATGGAAATAAATCCGGGCTGGGTCAGGGGAGGGATAACTGTGATTCCAAAAGGTGGAAGCATGAATGACTCTGATATAAATGCATCTTAAAAGTAAGAACTACGGTTGTCTTTCCTTCAATCTCAGCCCCAAGTTGAGGGACAGCTGCCCTTCTGCAAAATCACAAAATATGGTAACCAAAACTCAGCAACAGCTGATAAATGAAAGCAGGGAAAGGTTGATTTTTACCGCCACCTTGTGGCCAAGAGTGGAAATTGCAGTGTCATTCAAAATTTGTATTTTTAGACATATAAGGTGGTGATCAGGGTAGTGTTTACGGCACAAAGGCCCCAATTCAATAAGGCATTTGAGCATGTGCATGACTTCAGGCACATGAGTATCCTCACTGTCAATAGAATTACTTACGTGCTTCATAGGGTGACCAGATGTCCCAATTTTATAGGGACGGTCCCAATTTTGGGGGCTTTTTTTATATAGGCACCTATTACCCCTCACCCCCATCCCAATTTCTTACACTTGCTGTCTGGTCACCCTAGTGCTTCAAGTTATGCAAGTGTTTCAGTACCTGGCTGAATCAGGGCAGCAGATCTGACATGTATTTTTTTGAGGGATGCTGCAGCTGAGTGGATAAGATTTGGGTCTTTCACATCAGAAACCTGTGTTCCAGTACCAGATCGAGCAGAAACTCCCTCTATCTTCCTGGGATGCCCCTCTGGTCCTTTGTACCCAGCTGAAAAAATTCCATGACCATCTGCTTGTGGGAACGTTTTTGCTACTGAAAGTGACTTTGTGTAGATTTAATTTCAAATGGGATTTGTATCCTGCACTCTGGGGATCAGACAATACATAACCTTAGCTTTCATTTCACTAGGGTGCTCCCATAATACAGAATTATCTTGCTCTCACTGTGGGCCTGATCCAAAGTCCATTGAAATCAAGGTTGGGGGGTGATGTGTCTTTCCATAGACTTCAATGGACTGTGGATCAAGCTCTATTTAGTGGTTAATTGTTTATACTGCAAAACTGATGGTGTCTCTGCTATTTTCTCAGAAATTCAATACCCTTGTAGGAGAAAGAGGAGCCCAGATGAGTGGTGGCCAGAAGCAGAGAATAGCCATAGCTCGAGCTTTGGTGCGCAACCCTAAAATTCTCTTGTTAGATGAGGCCACATCCGCCCTGGATACAGAAAGTGAGTCAGTAGTCCAAGCTGCACTGGAAAAGGTAAATGCTGGGTTATTGACACAACCTCTAGCTCCATCTTCTTGAATCAAATATATTTTCTTTCAAAGCAAGGAATAGATGAACAAGATTATTATTGTACTGCAATGACAGGGATGATTTACTCAATTACTGCCAAATGCTGCAACCCCACTGGGAACAACAGTAACCATGTGGTAACTCTCACCGTGGCCCAATCCTGCAGTGAGGCTCTGTATGGGTGAGCCCTCATTGCAAGACTGGGGTCTAAATCAC